TTCAATTAATACGGAGTGAAAGTCTTCTCTTTTCATTTATTTTGACTGCTCCATTACACCTTACTATATGGCTGCATCATACTTCAACTAACATTAGATGTTTAAATAGTTTTCATTTCATCCATTCTTTTTTTTTCAGCTATTTCTTTGCTTGATTTACAGTTTGTGTTCAATGCAAATCAATTCCATAACCTGAGAAGTTACTATGAATCAAAGCGTAAATCCACAAACACAATATTCAATCAAATAGCTGTAAAACAGACAGATAGGAGATGAGAGCAATGTTCATTCACACACACGGTAGCTTCGGGGCTGAGGTCTCCTTGTTCCCAGGTAGGTTTCTAAAGATGGAGAAAGTGACTCTGGTTATCAAGACGACTGTGGCCATATTAGATCCCAGAATGTGTGAGCATCAGTGTGTGACCATGCGAACAAAAGATGTTTTTCAAGGAATGTCTGCGTTGTAGAAGGTATGTGTATATGAAGGCCGTTGGAAAAACTTAACTGTAGAACCAAACCCACTTTCAGGCACAGGACCAATGTCAAACTATCAAAAAATATGAACTGATAACCAAAGTATTCCCAATGTGGCTATTCTGATCCATTGTTTTGTTTTTCTCTTTTTTAAAAAAAAGTATTTAGAGAAATTGTATAAAAGACTTTGTGAATTCAATGCAAGTTAAGTGTTCAGTCTTCAGGACCCAAATACTAGGTTTATGGTTTTGGCTCCTTTGCATATTTGCCTTTAGGATTTCAAGATTCTTAATTTTACCTTCCTAACAGACCACACCTTAAATCATGAAAGCCCCTCAACAAATGCAGAAATAAAAACTGAAATTGGCTGAAGTCAGTGTAATTCTGCTGATGGAACCAGTTAAGTGAACCTGGCACCCTTGTTGAGTGAAAAAAGATGATGGAAAATGCCTACTATTTGACTTTTGAAATAAGATTTATTCAATGATGGCTGGATTTGGGGGTTGATTCCAATCCATAGTTGCCATGCACATGTCAATTACTAATAAAGGTCAAATATAAGTCGAACTTAAAGCCACAGGAGGAGGCAAAATTTTCAATTTCAAAGAGAACAGCTCAACAATGTGGAACTTTACCTAGAGTTTAGCATATTAAGGTAGTAGTAATGAAACAATACACTGAGGATTTAAAGTAACAACTAGTAGTTCCTTCCAACATATACATAGATAACATCAGAGAAACCTTTAATGTCACCTAACTGTATTATGGCCTCACAGGTAATGAGCCAATGAAAACTGAATCTTAATCCCACATCCTATCCTCATTTCTACATAAAACCTATGCTTGATTTCAAGATAGGGCAAGTGTCCGCATTCCCTAAGCCTTGTTCAAGGCAATCACGTCAACGTTGGATGCTATCACTTCATCTTGAACATAAAACTCCAGAGGATTGGAGTTTTAGCATTCATCATCTGTCAATCCCTTCACATGAAGTTTTAATGTTTTCTGTTGAGGTGTGGTAATAGTAGATTTGATGTGGACCTGTTTCTTCCGGGTCACACTGAACTTGGGGTTACCATTTGGGCTGGGTATAGAAGATGGGGAAGTAGAGACGTTTCTTGGACTGAGTCTCTAACAGTAGAAATGTAGGAGAGAAAGTGAGACGGTGAGGAGACCAGCTGTTGACTGCAGGGCACTGCCACCTGCTCTGGTGGTGGCATTAGCTGGATTTGGGGCAGTAGAGATACTCTGGTTACTTGAAAACGGTGCAACAGATGTTTGGCTGCAATAAATCTGTGTGCGTAGGAGCAGTGCCAGAAGCAGCAACCCCAGCCCCAGTCTGACCACCATCACTCTGCCCATGTCCGCTCCGTCAGCGTGCGGCGTGATTCTCTGGATGCTCGGTGCATGGAGATCTGCTCAGCTCGCACAGAAGCTAGCAAGGTCCATTTCACCCACTCTTAATGTTTATATTCCTGATCCTGTGCTGGATCTTTACATAAATCTGATCACTGTAGCACATTTATCTTTTTTTCCCCCTTGAGACAGGGTTTCTCTATATTGCTTTCGAGGTTGTCCTGGAACTCACTCTGTAGACCAGGCTGGCCTTGAACTCACAGAAATCCGCCTGCCTCTGCCTCCCGAGTGCTGGGATTAAAGGTGTGCGCCACCAGCGCCCCTATGCTGGATCTGTATTCTTCAATGGGACAGCATTTGGGGTGAGGTATTTGGTAGGGATTATGAGGTTAGAACACTGATAATATCCTGTCCCCTTTCTCCTCCATGTAAGGATGTTGAAGGAAAGCAATGTCTAAAAACCAGGAAAAGGTTCTCCCAGGTACACAGACATCCTCACCTCTCGAACCATTAAAACTGTAAGTTGTTTAAACTACCTGGTTTAACACATGTGGGGATATATACTATTTATGATTTCTTAAAGCTTGCCTGAGGATTCAGAAAGCAAAGTCAGCCACAAGCCATAGAAGCCACGCATACACCTTTAATTCAGCAGCCAGAAGCTGGGAGGTGGTTGTACATATTTTTAATCCTAGGACTCAGAATGAAGAGGTTGATGATCTCTGTGAGACCAAGGCCACCCAGATCTACACAAGGTGGATTCAGTCCTAAAGAGAAACAGCTCACACCCAGATGATCTCAGCCCCTGGGATCACATACCTTTAATCCCAGCATAAGACAGGAGGAAGGTCTCAGTATCAGAGACTCATTCTCCAGCCACACTGAGGATAGGAAGACATTCAGGCTCAGGATTCTCCAGCCATGCTAAGGAGAGGCAGCAGGACCAGCCCGTTCTGCCCGAGGTAGTGGTAACAGCTAGTGGCCCGCTACTTTGCTTTTCTGTTCTTCAGTTTGAAGTTTGAACCCCAATAACAGTTTCTGGATCTTTTATTTTTCATGCTATGAACATATCTTCTCATAGCAGCACAAACTGGATTGACACGTAAAACAAGCTTGTTTCTTTTAAATAAAAAAATAGGGGAAAAAAACCCTACCCCTATAACAAGTCAATGTATTCCCATATTCTTTACCTACGTCTTTTATTCTTGTCTTCACTCTCTCTCCATGGCATGGGAGGCTCAGG